TAGAGCTTTCGAAGTAATGGCAGCATCTGGCTAGTCCTTAGCTGCTCAACAAAGCGCTAGGAAAACGATTAGGTCGATGGGGTGGGCTTCAAGCTCCGAATAATCAGCTTTTTCTCGGCCTTCCTCACAGGCTGTCAATCCGATATTGCTATTTACACTCAATCAAATTCTTTCATTGTACATACACTCATAAAGTGAGATATAAAACATGATCAAACACGTTCTAGGCTGTGCATCGGTGTATTCCACAACTTTGACAAGTTTTCCTAATAGTTTCACAAATCGTACTGTCACAGTCTGACTATGATTAGTTGGCCTGAGTTGCATTCAGGCTATATAACAAGTTGAACAATAGTTGCAAAATGGTGCGATGATACGATCGTCATGTGCAACTTCGCATGTTTGTTTGACTCTCGATATCAAATCAGTGTTTGCCCTCGCGATTTCTGCAGTGCAGTTATGAGATTATCCATGTTCCTATTTTTGGACAGAACACCTCTTCAAGTCACAAAATCTGGAGATTCCAAGCACTTTGGAACCTTGGGATAGAATATATTCTACTTCTTCTGAAATATGTAGTACTCACTCTACGAAACGAGAATTTGTTGATCGAGGCCAATAACACGGGATTCTTGATGTATGCGATTTCGAGGTCTGGGACGTGACAGAAAAATCGAAGAAAAAGACGAGCATTACAACGAAGCTATGAGGGGTAGGAGTTTAGCATATTTAGATGCGATAACTTTAGGCATTGAATGTAATTACGTACCGGCTTCAGCCCATTTTCTTCACTTTTGTGGCTTATAGACTCTTTTTTATGTGAACCAAAGAAGCTGAAACTCTCTCCATTCTCAAACAGTCGAAGGGATACCTCCGGCGGGCAAATGGCGCGAGTCTGCCACATCGCGCTCTGGAGCGCTCCGGAGCCCTGCCATTTCACGCATTTTACTGCTCCGGGGCTCTCCTAAAACTAGCGCACTTCCGGGGCAGAGATTTGCGCGTCCCGGAGAAGGGTCAAATTCGCCTGCTTATGACGTCATTCTTACGTAACCGTGACGTCCGGTGAACGAATGGGACCCCTTTCTGGGACGCGCAAATCTCTGCTCCGGAAGTGCGCCAATTTTGGGAGAGCCCCGGAGCACCAAAATGGGTGAAATGGCAGGGCTCCGGAGAGGTCAGAGCGCGAAGTGGCAGACTCGCGCCATTTGCCAGCCGGAGTTATCCCTTCGACTGTCTGAGTCATAAACAGGCCACGGTGCAAAAAGTAGACTATTTTTTCGCGAAAATTCGCTAGGTCCCTCTGCCGATTTATTGATTTATTTACTTATAAGTAGAAAAATGGAGGCGTTCATGCTTTAACCAAGCATTTCTCATAGCCGTGTAAAGGAGAGTGGAGGAGTTTCACTGATATTTTGCAGCAAGGTAAATGCGGTGTTCCACAGCGAAAAAGCATGAAAGGAAGATCAGCCTACCATGGGAATGCTGTTGCAGGTTTTGGAGCAAGAACATGAAGAGGAAGGAGCAGTGCAAGGGTGAAGCAACAGCCGAAGAAGAGAGTGTAGGTCATTAATGGAAGGGGCACAAATTACCGTCCTTTGCCGCACCAGTCTAACCTATTCCGGGTTAGACCGGAGACGCCGGCTACTATATATTAGGCTGCTGCATAAGTTTCATCCGATTTTCTTGCCTTGTGTTTGAAGAAGTCGTTCTAGAAGATTTGCCCACATAATGCGACATAATCGTATCTATCTAATACAAGTTATATTTCAATAAAATTTTCAATCTGACAAGATTGCAGGCCTATGATTCAGATGGTCGAGACACATTCTCAGCTAACAAGGGAATGGTCAGAAGTCGAAGTGGCCAAATCCAACAAGCTGTATACCATTCGATGCAGTATAAAACGCTGACTTCGAATCTGTCTTTCTTATCTGCTTCCCGCTTCTGCGGACGAAGTTACAAGCGGTTTTAGAGTGAAAAAATCACACATATAAACAGCGAAATTGAGCACACTGTTGCACTTTTAGCTCAGATTCTTTCTTTAAACATTTGAAGTAGGCTAGCTGCATGTTTTGGTCCAGCATTAAGGCGAACGTGGCTCTGCACGGCTAAATTTTCAATTTCACGCATAATTTGTTAGCAAAATAATGGTCTTTAATGGCTTGTAGCTTCGTCCACAGAAGCGGGAAGCAGATAAGAAAGACAGATTCGAAGTCAGCGTTTTATACTGCATCGAATGGTATACAGCTTGTTTGGTTTGGCCACTTCGACTTCTGACCATTCCCTTGTAAGGAAATGGTTTTGCGAGAGAAAATCTCCACAGTATACTTTCTGAATCAAATCCTTGTATTGGCCACGAAATAAGAGTGAAACAGTCCAGTATGTGCACAAACTCACTTTCAGGTAAAAAAGTCTTGCTGGTAAAATTTGCTGTTGAAGAATAATTACTTGTGCAAAAGTTCCATAAACAATAACTTTCCGTAAATAGAGGCATTTGATGAGGCTAATGTTGGAGATGCTAGAGTAAAGCAAGAGCTAGCAGAGTTCAGACACCAGTCACTTTTACTTCTGTCGGCAAGTGTAAAATTTTCACAGTTTGAAAGTTGGCATACATTCATGTACTAAAACAAGGTTGAAATAGGCTTCGTTTTTATTCGTTCAAGTAAATATCCATGCCTGCAGAAAAGCTCAAGAATTACTATTTTCCTGATAGCTGAAAACTGCTCAATACATAGAGGCTAAAACTGTAGAAAAAAGTTGAATTTGAAGGAAGTTATGATATCTTGGATTCGAAAATTCCAATCGGCAAAACTTATGTAGCACCCTGATATATTAGGTTGGTGCAAAAGTAATGCGCGTTTTGCGAGTTCTCACTTTGACGTGTTATAACTTTCTAAAAAATCCATATCTTTCAGCGCGGCAAAATCCACCAGAGGCACCATACCTCTCTCTATACAGCGCACGTTGATTTGTGCTAATATCGCAAAACGGTGAAAAAATATGGATTGATAAGCAAAAAAAAATTTTTTTCGGAAACCTCGTTTTTAACTAATCATAACTTCCTTCAAGATTGTTGGTATAAATGAAAAGTTAACCGTCTTGTAGCCGCAAGCCGGTAGTACAAATAAAAGTTGAAAGGGGCTCAAACAAAGAAGATTTGAGAAAAGGGAAATATGATATTTAAAATTGTCCGCTTTTTTCGACATTTTTTCGTAGCAAAAAATGGAGATTTTTCATTTTCTGTGTACTGAACAGCTTCCAAGTTTCTGCAAAAACTGTCAACAGGAGGTCCACCCTTACGTTTACAAAAATGAGCAAAACTTTGGCGATTGCCTTCTTCAAAGGAAATCTATGGGCCACAGAATGTTCAAAACCATCACTCATGTTGGGGCACCGAAATCTCAGTCTAAATAATTTCTGAGAAAACAGCAAAGTGTGCATAACGTAGAAAATTTCTACTACATAGAGTAATCAAATTTTCAAAAGACTGCGAATTTTCGCGCTCAAATTTTGGCCAAAAAAGTAAGTGCAATGAAATTCTGGTTTGGAGTGCGGTTGTATGAAGCTCTATAAATTTTTAACGATTGAGGCTAGAAGCTTCTTTCAATCACCACTGAATAGAGCATGAATGAAGCTTCTTCACGGTACGCTGTGTAGGTTTCATAGGAAAAACTTCGATGGAGAAAAGCTTCTTGAAATGAGGGCTAGAAAAACGCGCATTACTTTTGCACCAACCTAATATTATGTTGTCCCAAAAGTTTTGTCGGTTTTCTACGTCGCTACCAAAACTCACAGAACACCAACCCATGAACGACCTAGGTACCTTTCGATTTAGATTTTTGTCCTCTTTCTTGTAGCCACATTTGTTCTCTGATCTACCCCCTGTTTACGGTGTTATCTCCATGGCTTTTAAGCAAATCAGCAGTAGCGCCAAATCTTTCCAGAATTTCGAAAAATTTTATTGTGCTAATTTCAAAGAGCGATGGTGAACGTAATGCAGAGCAAACCTTTGGCATTGTACTTATTTTAATAATTATTTATTTGAGAAAAACTGTGACTTTTTAAATACGTTCACCACGTAAGACTAACATTTCAAAAAGTTGATTTTAGAGCAAATCAAACTTGTTTATGTTGCATAAATAATGTTCAATGAGAATAATGTTACAATTTCCAGGAACTTCAAAAGCTTTCATATATTTGCTGCAGTTGCGTGTTTCATGACTTTGCCAAAAATCGAAAACTTCGAAGAAATAAATTTTTGAAGCTCAAAACAGCAGACTAGGAGAATCTAAAAATATCACCGTAAAGTCCTAGAATTGCTGTATTGGTGGCAAGCTCAATCCTTTCCGAAACTTGCAAATGAAGTTTCTGAAAAGTAGCTTAACTTTGAGCACATAAAAATGGCGAGTGGAAAATTTTGGCAATTATCGAAAAAGCTTACGTGAATGTGGTTCAATAATGTAACCATAAGAAAAGGAACGAAAGGCATCGAATGCATCTTGAAACTCATTCGAGTCTTTACTGTGCATGGTTTTAAGTGGTTTGAAAGAAACGATGTGATAAAGCACCCTAGTAAAACACACTGAGTTTAGCCCTAAATAAAAATTTTCGAAGTCACATGTAGCAACGCTACGAAGAGCGAAATAAGAATGTTAATGGATGTAATGCACTCTTTTAATATGCACCTCTAAATGGATTTTTGTCGCCCGTTTGCTTTCTTTTGAAACAAAATCGCTCTTCTATCTCTTTGTCCTTGTAACAATCATTGAATCTGCCAGCTATTTGTTTGGGGGTAGGGGACTACACATATGTCACCGAAAAGAGGCGGGCTCCGCGGACACTTGCGACAAATACGTACCCTAGCACATGCACGGAGAATTGTCCCTGCAGGAAATCCGCGCGGGACTCTCCAAGTCGGCGACATGTAGTCCTCCACCCTTTGCTTGGTGTCGTGAACGTCGTCGGCTTTCTAATATCTAAGGAGGCTTCTATGTTCTTTAGCTTGGGAAAACTCAGCCTCAAAAGGCTTTCTACTTATATAACTTGTCAACATGATTCTCACCGTGGCATTGTTAGCTATTCTTGCTGTAACCACGGTCACTGCGCAATGGTACTATGGAGCACCCCGAGGTTACTATCCGGGTGAGCTATTTTCAAGCATGAGAGTCGACGCTGAAAATAAGAAGAGTACAGTTTATTTGCTTGAAAGATGCATATACCATTGTTTGACCTTGGCCTTGACATGGCCTTGATTCTAATTCAGAGCGAAAAACTGTTAGCACTTTTTTAACAGGAAGTTGTCGGTGCTTATCAGCACAGATAATCTCAGGCGCAACTTTTTTCCTCTTTTCAGCAGTCATGCTAACTGTCCTATCGGAGGTTTTTTAAAAATTCGCCATTGTTAGTTTAGTTATGAGGCTGTTTTCCGTAATCACATCCTTCTCGTTTCAGTTTAAGAAGATACGACATAGCGACTATAACAAATCTTTATCTGTGCTCTATTTTTATTGGTGCCTTTGAAATTCTTAAATCGATTTCTCCAAAAGTTTTCAAACCCGAATTCATCAACAGAAAAACAAGTGGGTTGACCACTGATGTTTGTTGGCGCTAATGTTGGTTGCCCGGAAAACCAGCAATTGGAGTGAATTGAAGATAGCATTGCACATATGAGATTGACCGACTGCGCTGTGCTGTGCACGTGTTCCAAAACACTACACAGCAGTGTAGTGAATCTTGTGTAATGTAAGTGTAGAATCTCCAATCTCATAAATGCAAGGTGCCCCAAAAAATGTGCACGCGTCTGATCGTTTAGCTCGCTTGCTTCGAATCCTTCGCCGATCATTCTGCAACATGCTTAAATTTAGATTTATAGTTTGGAGCGGAAGCTCCGATCTCTCTTCACTAATGTAGGATCACGCTATAAATTTTTTAGCAAACAGTGTCATTGTAACTTAGGCCATTGGATGGAAAAAATTTTAAAAAATTGGAAATTGTGCAGAAGGATTTTCAAGCACGTTGATTTTAGTAGGCAACTTTTTACAAGATTTCTAGGATTTCTTAGAGATGTAATCACATTTTTGCTAAACACTGGATAAGATAAGCATTGTTACTGTTGTCCTAAGCTGAATTTTAAAGAAAGCATGACAGTGTTGTGCGATCGTATCTGATATCAGCGATTCTGATTAGTATAGTTTGAGTATTTTTGGATTGTTGACTTTCTTTTTGAGGCAAAATGCGGCTCTCAACAACAGAAAACCCTTTTCAAAATTTCTATCGTAACCCTACTCAAAGGAGGATCGGAGATTTGTTCCATTACTGTAAATCTAACAAGGGAGGCTCGCGGAGCGAAGTGGCCGATCACTTCAAGATGCATTCAAAAAGACAATGAAGCGCTAATTTCAAATCTGCTTTCCTTATCTGCGGGACGCATCTGAAGAAAATTGAAAGATAAAGGATAAAGGTTTGGCGTTCATACCCTCTATGGGCATGCGCCGAACGCACACCACTTCATAGTCGAAGAGGCATGTATGCGTGCGAGCCTTTTACGTGACTTGCGTAGGCCAGCAGACCAAGTCAATGCTCTTATCCTCCCAGATTACTCTGGTACCAACTCACCACCCCGAAGGGTAGAGGGCTTAGTTGGCCCAGAAGCGGGATCGAACCTGCGCCCGACCTGGTCATAGCGGCTCCTCGCACCGCTACGCCACTCGCCCTCCGAAGTTAAGAAAGTTATAGACTTTTGTTTGCGAGGACTTTGTAAGCTTGGGAGTGTCCAAAATTGTCAACATTAATTTTGGGCTCAAAGCTACCTAGAACAGCCTTATTCGTGCTCAATGTAAGGCTGACCCTTTCTGAAGGTTATAGCGCAGAAAGAAATTTGAACGACTGTTGAATTTATAGTCACTTAAAATACAAATTTTTTTAAACAAAAACGCTCATAATTTCCTTCCAAAAGTGTTTCGCAGATAAGGATGGAAGATTCGAAATCAGCACTTCAAACACTTTATGATGGTACCAGTGCTTCACCTCTGCTTCGCAGAGGCTCGCACTGGCCATCAAGAAACGATGGTAAACTTACGATGTGGAGGCTTTCTTTTAGATTATTGCCAGGTTGACTGCGGTGAGAGAGTCCTAATTAAAAATAACCATACTCGCTATCAGAACCTCACATGCTCCAAAGAATTGTAAATCGTTCCTCACTGTATTTTCGTAACAGACAGACTTACAGACCGGCAAATAAACGGCTTATTATAAGTCATGATTCATTTAAAGTGATTGGTACTTCGAACTTCGTGCCCTCTCTTGTAAGTTGAAGCTAGCTCTACAGCTTGGTATATAAAGGTCGACAAAGACATGGAAGCAGGGAGTTATCAAAGATCAAACAATGTGCACATTTTTTTGGAACTGACCTGTATGTGTACACAGCATGAAAGTCAGATAAAAATTTTTAGGTGGTGTTGTATGCTGCTGTTGTCACGGGTATAGACCCCCAGCCTTGAATTATTATCCTCCGAGGGTTGGTGTTGCTTGGGTACGAATGATACCACCACCGGGTGCACCACAAATGCCTGCACCAACACAAGCACCGCCACCGCCGCCTCCACCACCTCCTGCACCAGCACCAGCACCACCACCACCAGCGCCACCACCACCACCGCCGCCGCCGCCGCCGCCAACGCGGCCACCGATACCGACAACAGAATTTGAATGGGAGCCACTTACAACACCACCAGAATATTCTGACGAACGCGATTATACATGTGAAGAAAGAAGTATGTTACACCGACTTTGAGAATCTGCATCTGATTGCTTGAACATTTACCTATTGATAATCATCAAATTACAGACGTCTTCCGACTGACCATAAAAATGTGCAAAATGGACATGAGCACTGCTCTAATTGCTTTCGACCATCATTACAAGAATTCGAATACTGGCGAGGAGGTAGGCAAAGCAAGGACTGTGTTTTCTTTGTGAACGAATTGATGCATGTGGAATATAAGAGTAAATCGTGAGGGATATCAAGATACACAGTTAACCTGGATGTCTTTGCCCTTGAATTTAGCCTTACTCAAAAATCCTTCTGCTCTCCTTCACAGCGTGTAATCTGTTTTCAATAACTTCATCGTCGCGTGCACAAGAGAATACATGCTAGCCATATATAGGAAGAACCAAAAAGCAAGTACCGTTTCAATGCACCACATCTATATTTATCTTGATCTTTGTCGTGACACACATTCAAGCTATTTAATAATGTTAGTATAGGGCCAGTCTTTCCCAACATTTGAAGAGCAAGAAAAGTGCTTGTAATCCGAAAATCAGCCCTATGCTAGTAAACGCGTGCGGCTGCATATTGACAGTTGGAAGGGCAGGTGAATAGCGTAAGGACCACTATCGCTTTAGAATCATTTTACGCAGGGATATTGGTTTAGCTAGATATCCAGCAACCTAACTCCCCAAGCCTTGAAAAGACTAAAACCATTCAAGGTTTTCAAAAAAAGATTCTCATTTGTTACAATTACTTGCTATGGTCTCTTCCAAGAAACAATCTTGAGTAGGACGAACTGACCCCTTCATGAAGAAGTGAAGTAAAATACAAAAAGTCCACTCCGCAAAACAGCAAAGCACCTCCTCAATCTATCACGACTAAGAGAAATTCGACTGTAGTCATCCGCCACTAAAGACCTTCAAAATGATAGCTCAAAACATCCAAAACGAAGACAAGACCATCATAAAATAGTTGAACACAAAGCTAATAACAAAGTGATTGGTGAAAAACTTCAATTTCAAAAGGCAGAAGAAAATTGTTAACTCTGTTTATATTCCTCGAAGATCTCTAAATGATGCAGCTGCCTTGCCACAGTCACAAGAAAGATACTATGAATTACTCTTCACGAAATCAGAGGATTACAACAGCTACCCTAAATTCAAGAGTACAAGATGCAACTTCTTAATTTTTTTCGCAACCACCTCGGCTGTATGTGCTTCGCAAAATGGCCGTTCTCCCATACAATTCTTTTGGGTAAGAAGTTTTTGGTGTGTTCAGGTTTTTCGGGTTTAGGAAACAACTGCGTCTTGTAATCACTAAGGTGCTTTTCTGAAATCTGATTTCACCTACGCGCGAGAGTGGGGTCATGCTTGTAATATGTGCTTTTCCAAAAACTACAGAGCTGCTCCCTTTGAGCATGTTGTAGAGCCGTCCCTTATATTGGAACTTGCTCGCTCACTATAGGCTAGGTCAATATGCTCTGTGGTTGCGGTGTACCCGCCGCGCCTTGATATATTTGTGTGTTGTTATGGAGTCATTCCTAGTGAACCATCGGCATGTACGCCGATAGGCAGAGGGGGAACTCTTGTGTTTTTCTAATAAATCGTCAACGGCTCAACGCGTTCCACAACAACTGGCGATCAGGATCAAGGACAAGAAGACCTCCACCGAGCAAGGACCAGAAGCCTCGATCGATCAAGGACAAGAAGAATTGCTGCAGCTCAAATCGAGGAGGAATCTACCACTGGTCGAGGAGCTGGGAAGTAAGCTTTGCTAAGAAGTTATCGATTTGGTAGGATATTTCGTTGACACCAGAGAAGTCTACCATGCCGAAGGCCAGTGAAGAGCGGCATGGCGACTCTCTGGAGAAGGTTCTGTCGGTCATGGTCGATCAGATGCGGCTCCAACAAGAAGACATGAAGCTGCATATGCAGCTTCAACAGGAACAAATGCAAGCTCGACTACAAGCGCAGCAGGAACAAGTGCTGCAAGCTCAGCAAGAGCAAATGAGGACGCTGATCTCCACCCTAGTCAGTAATCTGGGAGCCGTCCAAGACACCAACAAGGATCGATATGATCAGCTGAGTAAGGACGTGCAAAGGTTCGTCTCAGACGAAGAGAAAGGTAACACCTTTGCGTACTGGTATGGCAGGTACGGATCGGTCATTCGCGACTCTCAGCTTCCGGATCAGAAGAACCGCGACTTGATCCTCATGAAGCTGGATGAAGAAGCATACAGGAAGTATGCCGATGAGGTTCTGCCTGCGCAACCAAGCGACTTGGACTTCGATAGTACCGTCTCGAATCTCCAAAAGCTGTTCGCCTCCAAGAAGACGCTCATCAGAAGACGGCATGAGTGCCTAAAGATAACCTGCCCGCCGCTTACATCAGCGTACGTACCGTTTCGCGAGTACGCCAACACTATCAGCGGATGGACGAGGATGCTCGGCTTAAGGAGGTCGACTACACGGCAATGAAGACGCTGCAGTTCGTAGCAGGTCTTCAAGATCCCTCACTTAGGAAAGTTCGCCTTTGGATGATTCGTCGACTAGACGCTCACAAGGACGAAGCACCGTTGACAATCGAGGACCTAGTCGCGGAATGTGAGAATTTCACTGCTTTGAAAATGGATGACACAGACATGGAACGAACGCGCGACATTCATGCTATCTGGAAGAAGAAGGTGAATTGCTTCATCTGCGGAGGACCACATTTCAGAAGAGAGTGCCTTCAATATGGCAGCATCGATCGGAAGAAGCGACGGAGGACAAGTGCAAAACACTCTGGTTGCAAAGGATAATGCAAGAATGTGGTCGCATTCGACACCGAGAGCGCGCGGACCTACCTCGACGTCGTAGTTAGAGGATGTAATCTCAAGCTCCAGCTGGATACGGGTACGGACATAACCCTGATATCACGTAGAGCTTGGAAGAGGATGGGATCCCCTGCTCTGGAAACCTGTATTATGCCAGTCAAAACTGCAGGCGGGACGTCGATGCAGATTTACGGTAAGTTTCAAACCGTTTTCTCAGTAAAAGATCGACATACAGGGAAGATGGTTCATGGAAGGGGCACATGCTACGTCACCGAAGGCTCAAATCTACTAGGACTGGAATGGTGCATCCAGCTGCCGGCATACAAAAAACTGAAGGACAACTACCATTGCAGAAAGGTGACTAGCGTAGAGAAAATCCGAGCCGAAGTGGTCGCCGACATGAAGAAGAAGCATGGGGAAGTCTTCAACAGCGACCTGGGAAAGTGCATGAAGAGTAAGGGCATCAACAGAGACATCAAGGACTCAGTGCGCCGCTGTAGGGCATGTCAAGAAGCAGCCAAGATGCCAGTGAAGACTGTACTGCATTCATGGAAAATGGAACAGAAACCACGGAATACTTCATATTGGCTACGCAGGGCCGCTGAATGGTAAGATGTATCTCGTCGTAGTTGACGCTTACTCGAACTGGCCAGAAGTATTTAAGATGCCTTCGTCGTCAATTACAGCTACCCTGAGAGAACTCAGATCTCTATTCGCTCGATTTGGAAATCCACAAGTGATCGTGTCGGATAATGAGACTCAGTTCACAGTAAGGGAGTTCAAGACTTCTGTGAAGAAAGAGGAATCAAGCATATGCGTTCACCACCATTCCATCCGCAATCAAATGGACAAGCGGAGAGGTTTGTGGATATCTTCGAGAGGACCTTCCACAAAATTAAGAAGGGAGGAACGGCAGAGAAGCTCGCGGAGTTTCTGCAGTTTTATCGACGAACGCCTTGTACAACTGCTCTAGGACAACGTTCGCCTGCCGAGCTGCTCCTGGGACGTCAGATAAGGACACCACTGTTGCTGCTGAACGAAGACTCCACAGAAGAATGGGCAATGAAGCTATGGAGAAGCAGTTCAACCGCCGTCACGGAGCTCGAAAGAGAGCGTACCAATTACAAGAAGCCGTGTGGGTACGTGATTTTCGCTCTAGATGTGAAAATGGATTCCAGAACGAGTGAAGAAACGCTATGGAGAAGCGCTATATGCCGTGCTTACGGAAGACGGACAGTTATGGAGACGTCATGCGAACCAGATGCGCCGCGCAGCAAGTATGGATCGTCATCATGACTCAACGCAGTCCATTCCCGACAAAAGCCGACGCAACAATGGTACGGATGCTGCTGAACCCCAAGCCATCTCGACTGCGTCACCGACATCAACCAGACCAAATTGCCATCATCGCCCACCAGAACGTCTACAAGTAGATCCCCATTGTAGGATGTACCGTTGTTCATCTTAGGAGGGAGGTGTTGGAGAGTCGTCCTTTATTGGAACTTGCTCGCTCACTATAGGCTAGGTCAGTATGGTCTTTGTGGTTGCAGCGTACCCGCCGCGCCTTGATATATTTGTGTGTTGTTATGGAGTTATTCCTAGTGAATACTCGGCATGTACGCCGATAGGCAGAGGGGGAACTCTTGTGTTTTTCTAATAAATCGTCAACGGCTCAACGCGTTCCACAATAGAGCAGTTTTGTAGTTTTTGAAAAATCTGCAAAGAATGTGGAAATAACAGATAAAAAGGATAATTGTCAACTTCACATTTGTGTATTTGAGATAGCTAATTCCAGCTAATTCTTTGAATTCACAATTTAAACTCATAGGAAATTTAATAACATGCTGAGAGCAGATACATTGCAATGCATTGCTTCGTTCGCATCTCCACTAACTTTCAAGATTTCTAGAACTTACTAATTGTTAATTATGCTCGGTCTATCGGAACCTCATAGGACACCAATTAGTCTATTCCGATACGATTTGATGCAACTTCATCTTTCACTTTCCAATGCAATCTTTGCGGAACTAGCGAATATAATTGTATTGATTATCATTTCTACAATTTCAACCGGGAAAATTTAGAATGGCGTTGCAGTGTAAAACGCTTATTTATTCAGCACATTCGGTGTTAATGTAGAGAGATCTTGAGACCTACGATGAAGAATTTTCATCATTAATGCAACTATGTATCAAATTTTCGCGGTTCAGAAATCCAAAAAATAATGTTCAAGCTCCAAAGTCAAATGATAAATGCAAAAAAAAGAGTGTTCCAATAAATGCTGCTTCTGTCCGTGACAACCAAGCTCCCATTGCCCCTGAATCAAAAGTCTTGAGAAATTATTCAGAACTAAACAGAATAAAAATAACAAATCAGAATAGTCCAATTTCAGCGTATAAGGCGCACTTTTTCGAATTTTCAAGCGAGCCGCTCAGCCGGTTTACTGCATCCCGGAAAGAAATCCTTACATCGCACGATTCTCTCAAGCAATATACAGCACGTTATAGAGTCCTTTGGTTGTAAAGTCCTTTGGCGTGTCTGGGCTGGTCAATTTTGGAAAAAAATCCCCCGCACTTTATACGCGTGAAATTAGGGTAACAGTTGAAATTTGGGCAAACGTTCGAGTTATCAACACGGTCAAGCGCGTGGCTTGGCTTGCCACATTTGTTGGGTCTATTGAGAGGTAGGGATTTAAGGGACTGTGATGGAGGTGACATTGCTGGGGATAAAAAACGTCATAATCGTTGACAGTACGTCAAATAACCTTGGTGTGCAAAACTCAAGCTTGTTCTGAATTCTTCACCTAAGTGGAAGGCCATTTTTAGACATGGTCAACTTTGTCTTGAAGTTGAATTAACTGCCTATTTTGCTCTTATTACGAAGAACTACTTCTTGTCAACATACATATCTAACTTCAAAAACGACAAACTGTGGGAATGGGATCCCACTCAACGCGACTGTCCTGCTTTTTGTTGTCATTGGCCCGAAAGCCAAGCCCTCATTCAACTGTCTCTTTGTGTGACTGTCAATAGGACAAATGAAGACAGATCAAGCTCGAATCACTATTTCGAAAATACGAGATTTAGGCTACTAAATGACATAGAATATCGTCCGCCAAAACTTTCCCTTTGGCCAGCATGTTAGAGATGTTGCACAATCCTAAAAAAGCTGTAGCTGTTTAGTTATGCGACATTTCTTCCTCATGAGAGGAGTTTTTGGCGGCTTGTTTATGATTAGGTCGTTCCAAAGCTAACGTCACTTTTTTTTAAATGAACGCCACATTTCGTGGAACATAGATTTCTAAGAGATCTTGGTAGTGTTCGATGCAGCATTTCATCCTCTTTTTAATGGTTATAGAATCGTTGCAACACATTCAGTGAGTTCTGAAATAATCACCATAATCTGCGATTCATGCTTTTTGAGATGGTCAAGTTTCACAATTTCCTGAACTTTTATATCGATCCTCCGAAGGAGTCCAAGTAACGATGAGGCATACCTTAAAGGATATAGCATAATTTTTCCTCTTTTTCATAGCTTGCCATAATTTTTTTAGAGATTCTTTTCCAAAAACCATCTGCTTTTGGCAGGCCTATGTCAGCCACACTCGCGCCAAAAACCAATAATTCTCCAAAAATTGAAATTTTAAGGTGACATTATTATTTGACACTAATTTACAAAGAAAATGAGAGTTGGCGCGTTCAAAATGAGTTAGCATGATTTTGTCGAAGACTTCACGAGTCGGAAGCAAAAAACATCCATTGAAAAGAGGAAAAAAGGTGCATCGACTAGGCCCGAGCTGCTCTCCCTTTTATATTCGGGGAGATTTTAGTTGACCAAGTATGGAAACTAATAGTATTTTGAATTATATTAATAAAGTATGACGACTTATGAAAAGAAGAGGAAAATTGTTTGAATCCTATAGGGTTTGCTCTATAGATATGTCACTTGGGCTCCTTTGGAATAACGAAAAGTTTAGAAAAAAACTTGACCATCTCAAAAAGGGTGGGTTGCAGATTTTGATGATTTTCCGAGAGCTCATTGTTGTGCTGCGAATTTTATAACTATTAGAAAGAGAACGAAATGCTGCAGTGAATTGTTCCTCGAAATGTGGCGTTACCTTAAAAGAGTGACACTACTTCCGATACGAACTAATATATGTTTTGATAGCATGGATCTCGCAGTTTCCAAAAAAGATATAAACCTGGATTATCTATTCTTTTGAGTAGTAGTCGCAGAAAGCATTGCATTGAGAACGAATAATTGATTGCTGGTTCTCTAAATCCACATCTGGCGTTATTTGTAGTGGTATTTGTGACATGCACTAATGAAGACTAGGGCTTTAGTTTGAGTGTGAAAAGAAACAGCTAACAAGGGAACCGTGTCGAGTCGAAGTGGCCTTTCCAGATGAGACCCATACTGCTTTGAAGAGCATTAATCGGTGATTCCAAATCTGCTTTCCAAATCTGTCAAGCGCCTCTGGACGCCGAGTTATGCTCATTTTTCAGGTCAAAAAATTGAACGCAAAACTGAAGCAAAATCGCCCAAATTTGCTCAAATGGTCCAGTGTCAAGTATCAGAGCTGTTTATGCAATGGATACATTTTATTTAATATGCTAATACTTAACACTGCTTTATCTGAGCGCTGGAAAGATTGTAACAATCAATTTTACCTAAATTGCATCCATTTTTTGTTCCGAAGAACGGTCATAACTCGGCGTCCAGAGGCGCTTGGCAGATTTGGAAGGCAGATTTGGAATCACCGCTTAATACTCTTCAAAGCAGTATGAGTCTCATTTGGAAAGGCCACTTCGACTCGACACGGTTCCCTTGTAAGTAATCTTTCTCAACGCTGACCATGTATAAAAATAACCATTTCACAGATTATCGAAAATATGACTTAAGAAATCGCTATAAGCTGATGAGGGTCGTTTAACATGCTGATTGAGGAATTGATATTTTATGCTTGGGTGGACCCTCGGTAGCCGTCTTGTATAGCTTGTTTTGCTCTGTCGAATGTAACCCAAACATCCCAAATAAGCATAGCTACAAGGCAAGGATTTTGAATTAAAAAAGAATTATAAGACGACCTAATAATTACAATATGCCAAACCATAACTTACTCCGTCTGCAGGGTTTTACACTATTTGGTCAACGCAATTTTTGTTCCAAGCTGAAATACTGAATAAGGAAATACCAGATGCGCTTTCTTCCTAAGCAAGTATTAGCAACTGACGCATTGCGTGCAATCTTTGGAAAACTGTTACTAGATTTTTAGCAGTATAAACTTTTGAACAATGTCAAATATTGTGCAACAAATTTCAGGAGGGCTACCAAAAACTGATCGATTGTTACGAGAGAGTTACTAAACTGAAGTCGAGAGTTGCAGTTGGACTTATGGTTGAAGTGAGTCTCTGACCTTTAAAGGTCTTTATTTTATGTCGATAGCTTTCAAGTTGCTTAGCTTTAGCATGTTGACGATAACGCGCAGTTCAACTTGTCCGCTTCGTGGGACAAAGCATTTCAAGGAAAAGTCAAGATTTCTGGGCTAAATACATGCGAAGTGTTACATACAGTTTACTTATCGTAGCTATAAGAAGTTGCAGGAAAATATGGAGGTCATTTCTAAACCTAGAGTACAGGAGAACTTCCGGAGTTAGTTTTCGCAAAACAGAAGCCATTTTAACAAAATTCAAGCTATGACCCGATATGTGGGTCACATTGTCCCACTTGTCAATGTCTTGAAACTCAAGACCTTTCTCCGGCCTCCTGCAACCGGGGCTGGTATGTATCAATCGCCCGTCCGGGTAAGTTACCCGGACAGATAGTTTCCGCTTTATAGCTCGGTGCTCTGGGGATCTGTGTTCTTCCGCGTTTGTTCATCTTTAGAAGGCTCTACTACCCTAATACTGTAGCACAATGAGTAGCAACACTTTGCTGTATAAGCTGAGATAATTCGTTATTTCTATGATCCCGAGCGGGATCTCCCACTGATCACGCTATTTTCAAAGTTGTTTATATCCGCAAAAACTCAATGAAAACGTCATAGAGTTTTGCTGCCGATCTATTACGACAGTGCTACGCATGTTTGTGAAAGAAATAAGTTGAAAATTAAGTTGACAAAATCTTCAATGAACCTGTGCTCGCGAGTTGGGCTTTATCGAAGAACTCAAAACTTGCACATTTCATCTGTTATACTAAAAACATGCGTAGCACTGTCGTAATAGATCGACAGCAAAACTCTATGACGTTTTCATTGAGTTTTTGCGGATATAAACAACTTTGAAAATGAGCGTGATCAGTGGGAGATCCCGTTCGGGATCATACAAATAACGAAATATCTCAGCTTATAGAGCAAAGTGCTGCTACTCATTGTACTACAATATTAGGGTAGTAGAGCCTCCCAAAGTGAACAAACAAGGAAGAACACAGATCCCCAGAGCACTGAGCTATGAAGCGGAAACTACCTGTCCGGGTAACTTACCCGGATGGGCGATTGATACATACCGGCCCGGGTGCGTAGCAAGTGTTACCCAGGCAGCCGCCTGGTGCCGCAGCCAGCCGCCCCAGCTGGCATCAACGCCGCGGCTGAGCTACCGTAAGCGCGCTTTCGTCGTCCACAACCTCTCGATGAGAGATTTTCGCAGCAGCCTCGCACCTCATCGCGCTGAGGGGCGAGAATTCCCTCAGAGGTCGAGCGACTGCCTCATAGTATATCGATCAGGATGGCAGAAAATTTTAGTTTATTAGTTGCTACAAATAATAAGCAAAAAATAAAAAAAATAAAATATGAAATAATCGCATAATTATAAGATTGGATTAAGAGCCCAGTTATGGAACAATTAACTGAAAAACTTCAGCAAAGAAGAAAACTGGACATATTCAATTCTCTTCAACAGAAAAAAATTAGAAATGGAATGAGCTCATTAAAATATAGAATAATAGAATTTTAATCGAGAAGCTATTTGAAAGGAGGCGTTCATCTTCTTTGGAAACCGCGCAATTTCAAACAAATCAATGTTTACTGGAATTCCAAGAAGATTCTACATTTCCATGCTCATCAAAATCGAGGACGGTTCCCTTGAAATGGTTTTCAATATGTTTTTTTAGTTTCTGGCAGCTCTAAATTTGCAGGTTTGGACTACAACTAAATTCGGAATCTCCAAAAAACCTCAAAAACCTAAATTTTCTTCTGATTTAAAAGTCACGACGAATTGTTGAGAAACTCGGTATTCAATATGTTTTTATATGAATTCTTCCCTTGTTGTAATTATGTTTTTTTTGTTGTTGAAGAGAATTGAATATGTTCAGTTTTCTTCCTTACTGAATTTTTTCAGGGTTTTGTGTCATTACTAGACTCTTGATCCAATCTTTTAATTAAACAATAATTTTATTTCCTACTTTTGTTTTTGCACATCTTTATAGTGCAAATTATTAATAAACTGCAAATTTTCTGCAGTCTTGATCGATATACTATGAGGCAGTCGCGCGACCTCTGAGGGAATTCTCGCACCTCAGCGCGATGAGGTGCGAGGCTGCTGCGAATATCTCTCATCGAGAGGTTGTGGACAACGAAAGCGCCCTTACGGTAGCTCAGCCGCGGCGGTGTTGCCAGCTCTGGCGGCTGGCTGCGGCACCAGGCGGCTGCCTGGGTAACACTTGCACGCCTCCCCCTGCAACCAAGCCAGTTGGGCACGCCCGGCACGAGTCAGTTTCTAGGGTTTCTGAAAACGAAGTCTCCCCTGACTTTCGGAAGTTTCACGAAAAATTGTAAAGTCGTTTGCACCAGCGGCCCTCAGCGAGCTTCATCATAATTTTTCGAAGTAGTCCCATGCCGGCACGGCCTCACAGTTCTTTTGTACCCCTAGATATTACCCATCATGAAAACCATAAAGTTGAGCAAGTGAGTGAGTGAGTAAGTGACACACCTGTACCTCTCCGAAATGACTAAGCTATAATAACTTCTTTTGCCATGCTGGGAATCCTGAAAAACATAACCTAGGGGTACAAAAGAACTGTGAGGCCGATTGCCGGCATGGGGCACTTCGAAAAATTATGATGAAGCTCGCTGAGGGCTCAGTGGGCAGAAGAACAAAGAAAAAAGACGAAACGGCCGAGAAAATATCAAGATACAATGCCGGCGCCGACGCCATCGATCGAGGTTTGGCAAAATGCCCGGGCGACACGATCGCGCGGCCGCCAGTGCTAACGGCTCTGCAATTTAGGAGCCCTGTACTTAGGAGAAGATAGAAACAAGAAAGAGTTACTAGTCTGCAAGAAAAAACGTGAGATAAGAGCAAAAATTAAACTGGAGCTGATTACTACGCATGCACAAGTTGGCATTGGAGCGCGATATTTAACAAAGCGATTTATAAAGTTTAATGCAAAAACAAAGGAAAGGTGATATGAAAAATTCTTCATGCTCAGGGATAGATTTTTGACCGAGGAATCCGTCCATGGTAGAAAAATCCAAAACTTATGCGAAGTGACAAAAATGTATGCTCCAGGCGATCTCAGATCGTCTGGTGACCGTCTGGAGACGGACTAATTTTGAAAAAGGTAATACTTTACATGAGTTTTCAAATCTTTTTGCATAATTCTTTTGTCGGTAACTTTTATGTATACATTTCAATTTTGGTGTCATGCGATTCTGTGTGCGCTGCAAACAAGCAATTTGTTCATTCTAGCTTTGCTTTCAAATCGCGCGCACTTTTCGTCATACACGATAGGGCATGCTAGTGTGATGACCTGTCCGAAAAGCTTGTGTTCGACTAAATGGCGCTTATTTTTGGTGCTCGGCGCCGACTAGTTGACAACGATATCTCCTTTGCTTTTTGCTCTAAAAACGAAGGCTAGGCTGCTAACGATCTATGCCGCGCCCTGGTCGGGCAGGCATAGACACCATGCAATTCTCAGACTTGCGGGATGCGTTGCTCGAGCGGGCGGTTATACGCAACTGTTCGCCGCACGACTGTTCCTCATAAAATGATGCAACTCTAAATGAGCGCCAGAATAACAAGCACTGCGGTGCGAACCCGAGAAACAAACGAAAGTCATGCGTTAAACTGCATATCTTGTGCCAACTTTTTCTTTTAGAGTCATCTCTTATGGCTGCTCTTCCTCTGCTGTCAGCAGCCCCCTTCGCTTACACATTTTTGCCATTTCACCATTTCTTTACCGCTTCATCCCCGAACCATTATGTACCATTTTCCCCATAAAGAGGCCGTATTTGTCATTTATTTCCTGCGGCGCTGAGTACTTTCACAGCGTATATATGCCTAGCACAAACAATCGTCGCTTACTTCAGTGGTGAACAGCCAATTTGGCACCCGCCAGAATAGAAATATCGGCGCTATTCCAGTATACCGACCCCAAAAATTAAAAATCTAGGATTTCGCTCAAACTCGTTATAGGCGGGTTATTGGATCCGCTGATGCCGAATATCATATTGATTCCGTGCGATAGCGCCATTTTCCGGGGGTTACGGTGGGTATACGGTAGGAGGTCAAAATCACAAAATTCCCTGAAACTTGGTGGAGGGGGGTTATTTGGTATGCTGAACACGAATATGATATCCATTCGTTACGGTAGCACCTCATTCCGGGGTTACGGTGGGTATACGGTAAGGGGTCAGAATCACGATATCCGCTGAAACTTCTGGTATGGGGGTTATTTGACATGCTGATCACGATTATGATGTTTATTAGTTACGATAGTGCCTCACGTTACGTTGGATATACATTACCAATACCACCGCTAGATCGAGATTCAGGGCTTGAAATCTCAGTCACACGTCGGAAATTTCCTCCCCCTGCTTTGCTTAGGCAAAAGCCGCCGCAGGGTGTATCGCGCGCGGCGGTGGGTGTGGAAAGCAGTGAATGAGACCCTCTTACAGTATACCCACCGTAACCCCGGAATGAGGTGCTACCGTAACGAATGGATATCATATTCGTGTTCGGCATGTCAAATAACCCCCCTCCACCAAGTTTCAGAGAATTTAGTGATTTTGACCTCCTATGGTATACCCACCGTAACCCCCGGAAAATGGCGCTATCGCACGGAATCAATATGATATTCGGCATCAGCGGATCGAATAACCCCCCCTATACCGAGTTTGAGCGAAATCCGAGATTTTTAATTTTTGGGGTCGGTATACTGGAATAGTACCGCTTGGCTTCGGCAAGGCGGGGCTTCGTGACCGAATTGAGGTTAGCTTGTGATCAGATAGCAGTCGTGCGAGAGAGACGCAGGTGCGTTGTGGGCGCGAGCGGCCTTAATTGCGTCACAAATAACCCCCTTCTCGAAGCCAAGCCAGTTAAATCAAAGGTTACATTTCACTGAAGTAAATGGTAGCAAAAGCAGTCATTCAATCTTTGTTGCAGCGCAATGTACTCTATATACGTGTG